AACGTACTCGACAATGCAAGACACCATTCACATGGATATTGTAAGCCTGCAGAAGGAAGAAAACAGTTTGTTAGTCTTTGTAATGTTTTTGAAATAATTCTTCTATATTCAAGGCTGCAACTGCAATATTGTGCTCTGCTACCTACTGACAGAGGTAGGATGAAACTGCCATGCCTTTACTTGTCGTCAAATATAAAAAAGGAAGAATGAGTACGCAAGTCTTCAGGAAATACAATAGTTTTTTGCCCTTGTGTTTGAACAGGAAGTCTGCCATTTAAATCGCAGCCCCCTCTCATTTTTGTGGCTCTTCTGCAAAGTATGCATATTTGGTGACATGAACAGCTCCACTGCAAATATGCAACTCCCTGTCGAATATAGAGCAAGACAACATCACGCTCTCTGACTAAATCTACCTCCGATTGTGAGTGAATGCAGAGAGAAACGAAGCAGGTTTTAAAATCCGTTTTAGTTGCCTTTAGAAAATTCAGGTAGATTAGCATCAGTGTTGTTTTTGTTTACTTAAAAACTATTACAAATATCTGTATATTATAATAAAATTAAATATAATATTACATGAAAAACTTGCCTTGGCAACTAAATAAAAAAAAATACATTAAAACCATTTAGAATTTAATTAAATCATTAATGTATACACTACCAGTCAAAAGTTTGGGATTTTTAAACATGTTTTTGAATGTCTCTTCTACTCACCAAGGCTGTGTTTATTTAATCAAAGATACAGTACAATTAGTGAAATATTATTACAAGTAAAATATAATTTATTTATGTGATGCAATGCTGAATTTTTAGCATTATTACTCCAATCTTCAGTTGTGCCGTTTCATGTTTGTCAAAACTGTGATACTTGTACTTTTTCAGGATTATTTGATGAATAGAAAGTTCAAAAGAACAGTATTTATTTGAAATAGAAATCCTGTAACATTATAAATGTCTTTACTGTCCCTTTTGATCAATTTAATGCATCCTTGATAAATAAAATGACTAATTTATTTATTTATTTCTTACCCCAAACTTTTAAAGGGTAGTGCATCATTGTTTCCACAAAAATATGAAGCAGTTTTATGAATATGAAGCAAACAGTTATTTTAAATTGTAATAATATTTCATAATATTTACTGAATTTTTGTTCAAATAAATGCAGTCTTGCGGAGCAGAAGAGACATTCAAAAACAAAACAAAATATCTTACAGATCCCCCTCTTGACCAGTAACAGGGTGAACTAGTTTATGCAAAACCGGTTTAAATTATGCAAAACAACAAATATCTTGTCATCAAAGAAAAAGAAACAAAAATATAAAAGCAGTAAAAAGTGAGTGTGATTCATACATCTGACCAATTTATATCTCAGTGGCCTTGAAAGACTTGGCTATTGAGAACGTCACTGACGAACTGTGATGGAGAAATTCTCTCGGAAACACAGTCAAAGATGGACACAAACAATGTCTGCAGTCAATCTGTTAGGAATGATTCACAATATCTTCACATTGGTGCATTAAAACCTTTGTGGGTCTACTGGAGGTGTTTTAAGAGTGCTGAGAGCATCCATGTGCTGTGGAGCTCAAAAATTATCTCAGCCCCTTATTCAAATCATTTGTTGGCTAAGGAGAGTCAACAGCACAGGCTGCACATCTGCATTACATCTGCAGACACCTACGAGAAAGAATTCAGGCAAAATATGCTTTGTAATCAATCCACAGTTCAGTGCAATACAGATGAAATCTCAGGAGCCGAAACTGAAGCTGTCTGTTATTGATAGGCTCTACTCGCTGTTTCATAGAAAAATGAAGTGTCATGTCTTCAGAGTATTGAGCCAGCTACATTTCCAGTTATGCTAGATAACTGCTATGCTGAAAGAAATGGCAATCTTGCACTGCGTATGGCTGAGCGAGAGATGCCAGGAGAACTGAGACATTGTGAATCCAATTCACACAACAACTCAAATACAAAAGAGTATTTCTGAACAACCATTAACAAAGCTTCCTGATTCCACCTTCAATAATTTTGTGCCTGCCTTTTTTGTTATTCAATAAATAACTTATGAATGTTGTGTCAGCTAAAATATATATTTTTCTTTTATATATTTAATGAGTAGAGGTCAGAATAAGTATGCTTTCATTTTTACAAAAATACATCTATTAAATCTTGCAATTTTAAGACTAAAATTATAAACAAAAACACTTAAAATGAAAGTTTTACTGTTACAAATCACATCATACTACATTTTTTAATATTAACCATAATCTTACAACAGATATATGAATATTCATATCTACTTGATATCGTTTGGTTTTCCTGTTTTGAATCCGGTCACTAAAAAGATTCGTTCAGCTTCCTTCACTGAATCTTTATCCATATCAAGCCAGTATGTGGTGGTTAAGGCTAGATGGCACGATACAGCAAAAACTACTGGGTATGCGCACATCGATATAGCGTAATTTTTCTCACACTGTACAACAATAATTACTATTTTTGCATTATTGTAAGGGGTAGGTTTAGGGTTGGGGTAGGTGTAGATGTTAATAAAACACAATCTAATAGGTAGAAAATTCTATTTATTGTTAGCTTCCTGTTTTTGCTGTATCCCTTCTAGCCACAACCATATGGTGGCATATGTAATGAGTGAATCATTGAATCACTCACTCAACCGATTACCCTGATAACACATGTATGTACATCACAGAGACGTCTATTTGACATCTGCATTTACATCTGCAAGATGTATTTTTTTTTTTTGAGTGTTTGCTCATCTGCTATACGTCTATAGGACGTTTCCTGTCAGAAGTTAAATAGACATCTATAAAATGTCTTTAAGATGTTTATGATTTAGAATGTATGTAAAACTGACATCTTAAAGACGTTTATCAGATGTTTGTACACAGCAGATGATTTCCAGACATCTTGCAGACGCATGTGTGCTATCTGGGTACAGAGTATTTTAAAATTGAAAATGAGTCTTGTTATCCTTTATTAAAATATTAAAAACTACAATTTCTAAAAACTACCAAGAGACTCAAGAAAGAGTGTTTAAGCATAATGAGCATTTTCACCTCAAATGACAACAAAGTAGGCCTACATGTACAATTTTGCTCCATTTTGTCAACTGGGAAGGACTTGAAAAATGACAATAGCCAACAACCTAAATGAACTAAGAAATTATGTCCATATATCATGTTAATTTTAGTTCTCAGTCATTTTAACATAACTCTTCTGCCTCTTTCTCTTCTTGTTGTGAACGAGACTGACTCGTATGATGATCTGAACGAACGGACATGTTCCCTCACGTTCCATCAGTCAGAGAAAGATCCGTACGCAAAGATTCGTTCACAACAACGATTCAAAGCACCACTATTCTACAGCGTCACCAAATGTAAAAGCTAGGCGCATCGCTTATTTGACCTCCACTACACTTACCACATATGTCGATCCATTTTCATCGGAACGGACCTCCGTCTCGGGGATGGAGAAATGCATTTTCTACTCTAAGATTACAAGTCTTTGACCAAGTTGAAAATGCTGTTAAAAGCGAGTGTTCACGGAAAGCCCTCGGAGTTGGTCTGCTGTCATGCAGAGACCAAACTGAATGACGGCGAGCTACACTCGCTCCGATTCACTGTGTAGTCCTATCCAGTCCAGTCCAATCCAGAGCTGAATTAAGCCAGAAAAGTTCTCTTTTGCGACGTGGATTATTATAAAACTTTCTTAATGTTCAGGGCTGAACTTTTCCAATAAACATCTAAGCAGCAGCCATGTTGCAACTGGAGGTATTTCCACGTTCATTGTCGGCAATGTATCACCAAAGCTGTCCTCTCACTTCCTCACGCACTAGAAAAGAACGTGGGGATCGAGTCTGCAAAACACACAAGGGTCGTCGCAAGGCCCACGATCCAATTAACTTTCAGATTACTCCACGTAAAGGTGCTCCGCGGTTGTCTACAGCCCCCGTTTCTACATACATTGGTACATACGAACGAGTATGGAGAGGAAACAAATGAAACTGTTTGTCGCAGCATGCATTTCGAGATAGCGATACTGTGCTCCAACTTGTAAGGGCGTTAAGAAGAACGCACATCAGTCTGCATTGTAGCGAAACCTTCCAATACTATAAACGAAGCCGCTCTGCTGTACTGTATTCAATATGTATGTATCTGCTCTCTCCCGAAGCGTTGCAACAGTCTGGATCAAACCATTCTTCTAGTGCGGGGGGAGGTATTGCGTAAAAATGTTCATTCGAGATCGGGCATGAAAAAGTTGCAGGCGTAGTTTGTAGTAAACAATCTCGCCATAACGACGGAAACTTATGTTTAATTATGAATGCAAGTGTTTAAACTTAATATTAGGTTTAACATCGAAATGGACTCAAAAATCAGATTGCAAATCAGGAGGTTAAACTGTATCAAAGAGTATTGAAATATTAGCTAAATCATAGTTCTCAAGACAGCTTGTGATTTGAGGTATTTAAGGCGCTTTTTTTTTCTCAGAAAAATGGTCACTGAAAGGATCAAGGCGCTTAACTTTCAGCAAATGATTACTTGAGGAGGTCAAACATTTTATATATATTTTCAATAATTTTTTTGTTACCCTGTTATGTATAATACGTTTTGCAACTTCATAGCAATAAACACTACACAAAAAAATTTAAGGACAAAAGTAATAAAATGTATTAATTAAAAATCACCAAAATGGGTAATACAGTTGCCTAAATGAATAGGGCACCATAGTAGTTTTTTGTTAGTCATGTTGTTTTGTAGTTATGGATAAACTTCCCATAAATTAAATAAAAATATGTATTTGATTATTTTTACTTACAGTAACTTTGGTAGCTTAACAGCTGTATGTTTAAGCTTGACAAATGCACTCAACACTAATTTGTCTAAAATTGACACAGGGAATGAGATTCTTTGTTTCTTTCTTTCACAATTTTATAGAATCTTACCTCTGAGCTGGGGCAGTCCAAAATCCACATTTAAGGGGAGGGGGGGGGGGGGGGGTATGCCTATAATGTTTTTTTCAAGTTATCCGTATTCGTGGAATGTGCGTTATTTTATATAACTAGACTGAATATAAATGGCGAAAAGGGTCTATATCAGTTCAATAACGTGAGTTGTGTAAAAGCAACCTGTGTTTTGAGAGTGTTTCGTTTCTATCGAAATTTCACCAAAGTGAGAAATGCAAAATATCTGCGCCGTCTGGTTGTCACGAATGGGGTCGCGACACTTGAACGTCATCGATGATCATCGAGTCACATGACTTTGCTTTTGGCGAAAATGACACCTGGCGTTACAGCATCTACTGTGTATTTATGTACTGTTTTTATTGTTTTATTCAATGTATATGTCGATAGCCAGGATACTGATGCACAGGTGAGACAGTTCGCTATGTCAAATGAATTCATACGATGTAACAGATACTATAGTCATTTGCGAAATGATTGTAATGAAATAATACATGCTACATAGATATATTAGTCACATTGTTGTCATCGGTCTTCACTGTTGTAAAGTAAAGTAAAACAATGCATGCTGTTTTATAATATTTTTTAAAGCTTTCACCTTTATTTTTGCTAGTTATGTAAAATGTGTGAAGGAACTGTACCACAAGATAGTCCTGTCTGGGATTTCTGCCTAACAAAAGGCCATATAAGAGGACGCTGCTGTTTTGGAAATGAAACCAGCAATGTAGATGCCATTATAGGGTAGGACAACTTTTCTAGTATTTCACATTTTTTACATTTTGACATTTATTCTGTATTTTTAATCTAACTGTACGGTACTGTTTTAGGTTGGATTTGGCAAACTGCTCTATCAGTCATGTAGAGCACCTGTACAATTCATCCACAGCATTCATCATGTATGACCCAGAGCAGGTTTTTCATGATAATCTGCATGTGTCATTTTAGCACTAAATTGAATATCTAACTGTTGTCATTCTATATTTTCACAGAGATCTCTCCAACAACCCGATCTCCAATCTGAGCGATTTCATATTTCAAGGTTTCAGCCATCTTACCCATCTGTAAGTTATGCATTAGCACTGTATATCATGTTAATAACATTTAAGTCAGGGGTTTTCAACTGGGGTCCCGGGACCAGGGGGCTGCAAGGGGGTGCTAGGGGGTCCATGGAAAAATTTAGAGAAAAAACAGTGAAATAGATAATAAAATAATAGAAATTAATACAAGTATTACAATAATAATAATAATAAAAATAAGCTATAAATAATGTATTAAAATAAAAACATTAAAATAAATGAATAAACTATATAAATAAATAATACATCTAACAG